TTCAGAGTGACTACACCTTATTGGTGTGATCTATAAAGCACATTTCTAGATGCAGCGGATTGCCCAGAGATTCTTTAGTTGATTTGATCATTTCTAGACATCTTGATGCCTGGAATGAATTTGCTTCTAAGGTACTAACTGACCGATTTCATTCACTTCATAATGATCTTTCCAAAACGTTCTCCTCTTCTACTCGTTCGAAATGCAGAATTTTATTCTCCCGCGCGTCATCGTATCCCAATACTATTTGGCCTTATCTCTCACGTTTGCTTGTTGACCCATCGAAAGTCACTAACATACTGCGCAAGCGCTTGTTGGAGTAACAGTTCTGATTTTTTCCCATCTTTTTACCCAAGCATGTATATAGATATTATCATCCACATTTCCGCAGTGATGGTGTGAATGCTGAAAATGAACCCATTAGGGTACATAAAACTTATTTTGACTTGACTTGTGCGAACCGTGCACTACTGTTGCGCGATCTATTAGGTACTGGAGTTCAAACTTCTGTTGAAAGATTATTTCACCAGGCGTACCCAGTTTAGCAGATTAATGGGAAGAAATCCATCTTCACGCACCACGAACTCTGGTGTTCTTCAGGGAGCCATTTTATCCCCATTCCTATTTTATGCTTACGCTACCTCAATCCCCGTCCCTGGAGAGAATATATATATATATATATATATATATATATATATATATATATATATATATGTCTGGAAGAATAACGTCTATGTGCTGAAATATGGCTAATGCAGACTCTACCCGGAACGGGAGGTGATGGTATTGATACAGGCCTCGGTGCGAATTTACGGTAAGGCCCTGTATAAATGGATCTGCATGCATGCGTCAGAATGATCCAAATCTGCGGGAAATCTATGGCAACTGAGTTTTGCAAAGAAATCATCAGGAAGCAGTAAGGACATACAGCGCAACCTTCAAACGCGTCGAGAAATCGGGGAATATTAGAATCTGACCATTCGACTTTTACACCTTTTCCCGATTGCTTGCAACCATAGGGCAATTGAAGTGAACCTTAAGGATCTCGATTGCATACGTAAGGCAGTTGAACTTGGTCCTTAACACATTTGAATTGTATCCAGTGTCTTTGCGATGCAGTATGCGCGCAGCGTCCTTGGAGTTGTCCCAGCCCAAATCGGTCAATGAGGGTAGATGCAATAACCATTGCATGAATAGTATGGATTGATGATGAAGACGCGTGGGCGTTTTATGCTCTATTCAGCGACTAGTGGCTACTCGGAGGCTACATGCACGCAGGCTAAGGGCACAAAGTTGTCCAAACTAACGTGGTGCGGCGGCACAAGTGGACTGCCATGTAGGTAAAGGCATGCTCCCTACATGACAACAGTGGAGATGGGGGACAGCTAACACGACAATGCGACACCTGATTAGCGATCCGAAGGTTAGTTTGACATTGTGTTTGAGCACACAAGTTGCACAGCCTAAGGGTTAGGACGACCTACCAACGCTTGGGATTGGAAACAGCATAGGACTGCACAGATAGGGTACGAGAGGCTGGTTTAGATCGACTCGATCGCTAATCGGGTGTCGCATTATCGTGTTAGCTGTCCCCCATCCCCACTGTTGACATGCGCAAAGCATGCCTTTACGTACATGGTAGTCCACTTAAGCCCACTAAACCCAGTCGCACTACGTGCATTTGGACAACTTTGTGTCCTTAGCCTGCATGCAACTAGCTTCCGAGTAGCCACTGGCCGCTGAATAGAACTTAGAGCGCCCACACGTCCTCACCATCAACCCATACTATTCACGGGAGGGTTATTACGTCTACCCTCAATGGACGATTTGGGCTAGGTCACTTCCAAGGACACTGCGCGTATTGTGCGTCACAAAGACACTTGATGCAATTTTAAATGCGCTAAGGGCCAAGTTCAACTGCCTTACGGATGCAAGTCAGATCCTTAAGGATTAATTCAATTGCATTATGGATGCAAGCAATCGGGAAAAGATGTAGACCATAACAAGAGGTTCCACCCAGGGTGAGTAGTTTACGGGATGGATAATTCCTGCTCTAAGAGATCTGCCTCCTGGCGAGCCATTGGTGCTGCTGCGTAAAGTACATGGCGTCTCGCAGAAAACACTCATCATCATCTGTATGAACGTTAGCTGCAGGGGGAAAACACTTCAGCTATTGTGCCGCAATACAAAGGACAAGAAGAAAGAGGAAACAGTGGCACGCCGGCTGAGTCCCCAGTAACGGATGGACATCGTTACGGAGTTATGTTATGCCTAACAAATACGATCGTGATTGGATGGGGCTAAGCAGGAGGGGGTGGACAAAGGAACTCACAACACAAACACCAATGGGGCCGGCTCCTAGCCATATCAGCAAGTGTGTCCAACCAAACGTGTTCATCGTCCTTGGGACCCCAGCCAAGCAGTCGGGATGCACCAACCGACACCAACTTCGAAGTGGGGGTTTTCATCTCTCCCGACCAAGTCATCGCTTGGCCTCCCCTCCTCCTCTTCCAACCGCACCCCCGGAGCGCAAACAATGCACGTCGCGGAAGTCGGTGTGCTGGTATGCGCAACACGTGGCCCAGCCATCGGAGCCTGGTACGTGAGGAAACACTAGAACAGCATCGGACTTCAGGGACAGCAAACTTGTACTTTCGTGCACTTAAAAAGATCCGTCCAAATTCGCAACCCTTCAGCGACTTGAGAGAGTATAACGTGAGAGGAACAAACTGGTTTTCATCCGGGCAGATTCGCATCCACCAAATTGTATCACATCAGCAAGTTCTTGAACTTAGTCGAGTTCACCGAAGGCGAACAATCGTAGTGTTCTTGGACATCCGAGCGGCATTTGCTTATAGACAGACCTGCATTGTGGAACTGTCTATTAAGGAAAGGTGTGTCTAACAAGTCCGTAGCCATCCTAAAGGAACTCTACAGCCACACGTCGGGCAAAGTCAGGGCTTATCACAAAGGTTGCCCTATTTCCCCTTTCCTCTTCAATTTAGCCACTGAATAGTCGTCCAGCGAGCATTAGAAGGCGTCCAGAATCGCGGTAATGAGTTTCTCCCAGGTGACAGACTAGCGGACTTGGACTACGCCGACGATATCGCTTTGCTTGGGGACCATTCACAAGCTGCCCAGAGCGTTTTGAAATGCTTAGCGACGGAGACGGTTAAGTATGGCCTGTATTTCACCCGAGGTGAATGTAAAATACTACTCCAAGGTTGGCAAATATCCGTGCCTGCCCTCGCCATTGCTGGTGACATCCAGGAACAAGTCCCCTGCTCCACTAATCTAAAGAGTTGTATCACGGCTGGCGGCGGTTTTGGGGGTTTCATAACGGACAAACAAGAAAAGGAAAACACATCGCGGTGAAACAAGTGTAACAAGGATTTGAATGCAACCATCTATGCGTTGGTTTTGATAGTAACCAGAAAGGAAAAGGCAGCTATGGAGAATCTCCCATGATGTTGCATAGATCGCGGAAACAATGAGTGTCAGGTGGTAAAAAGAGACCATTCAGAAAACTTTGGAGAGTGTAAAGCGAGGAAATGGAGACAGAACATTTTTATGGAATAATTAGTTGCATAGCATAGACAAAAAGCTCAAAGTAGTAGATCAGATGCCCGATGACTTCGTAAATGTGCCCATATGCCAAAAGGCATACAATCAAATAAGGAAGAACATACACTTGTGAGCGGTACTTGCACAAAGACGAAACTGGGTCCATCGAGGTCAACGTCATTATGGTATCCCGAATTAATCAGTCGACCACTTGTCATAACTTCAGCACGAGAAAGTCATCCGCTGAGTTTGGGGAGCAAACTGACAAGAAATTGCCAGACAGCTCTCCGTGGTGCTTCCAACTCACCCTAATACCCAAATGAGTCTCACGATAAAATCTAAGGAGCTTCATTGGTCGAGTGCTACGATGATGGAGTTTAAAGGAATGTCATTTATAACCTTTCAAAGAAAAAGAGTGCAACAAACAAGCGTAATAACTTGAGTCGAAGGTGACGTCAGGTCCCTGCGTGGCACAGTTCTCTCGCATAGCAAAGTGTAAAAGTAAGGAGACAAACATCAACAGTACGACAGTAGGCCGCACCGACGATTCGCTGCCATGCGAACGCCACCACTAGTCACGTATGGGCTAGGGATACAATGAGATCGCCCGCACCTTCGTAGATTCGATCCGGTGACTTTTGGCTCACAATGTAAACACCTTATACACTGGACCACCAACCGATAGTGCATGAATAAAGCGACCTTTACCACGCGATGTAGAACCAGCGAATGTTCGCGACGTAATGCACGTGCGCATCCTGTAGGCTGCGGCGTTGCGAGGAATATTGTGGTGATTTGCACACTCGAGCTGCGGTACGTTTTAAAAATAAAGGTGAGTTGGAAAAAGCAAAGATGGGATGGCTTTGTGTTTCGATATGTATAATCAAATGGACCGGCTAAACAGCAAAGAGTGGGTTGTGACCACTCTTCACAAGAAGTGGAAGTCGTTAGGACTAGGTGCCTTCATTCGTTCATGTTACGGGTTGGAAAGGGGTGAGAAAGAACCCAGCTATTGTACTTTGCTGCGTGTAAAAAGGAGTGATGGCATACGTTGAAGAAAACAGTCGCTTTAACAGTCGATTAGCCTCCAAGATGAGGTCCTGTGAAAGTCTTGTGAATGCACGATGAAAAAAACAAAAAATCAGAGGAAAGAAATATGCTGTGCAAAAATAGTGCGAACTGGGTGAACATAACAATCTAAACAGCTTCGCGTTTCAAAGAGCAGCGCTGTCAGTGTTGATGATTGAAGCCTGAAAAAGTGCGCATGGTAAACCATGCTTAAAGTGTACGGAACAAAGCAAGAATAAAAGAATGACAAAGATACAAAATAGGCTTCGAAAAGGTTAGGTCACAGAGGGGGTACGGTGACGGGGATCTCAGCCCGAGCCATTGTTGAACCCCCGTGGGATGGGTAGAGTAACAGCAACATTTGTACACTAGTTTCGCTTTAACCGAGCAAGCCGGGCTTCTAAGTCGTCTTCGTCGATTGTGCCATCGGCTGAATTGGGAGCAGGACCGACGCCGCCGCCACCTCCTGGACCTGCTGGACCGCTTGCTGGTATAGGCGTGCGCCCGAAATCGGATGCAACCCCGGTGCCTATAGTGCCAGATGGATTTGGTAATCCGGCCAACTGTTCGTTCATTTCGATCCCCAGCTCAGCCAAAATCTGGAAAGAGAAAAAGAGCACGCGAGCGACAAACCATTACGGGTAGAGTTAACCGTTCGATGAATCTTGGACTAGGTAGCCCAGGATCTAGTGAAAAGCGAACATGTAGTCTTTGCGAAAGTGGCGATGCCAAGTCAAAAGACAGCCCAATTAACAGAAGCGAAATAGCCCAGATGGAGAGAATGATGGATATGTGCTCAAATGGATATCGTGAACACTCGCGAATGCTTCGTGTCACAATCTCGTCACTCACTAACATGCTCAAAGTATAAGAAGGGAGTTAGGTACCAAGGTATACGAGAAAAAACTGTAAATTAATGACCATCAATACTCAAAAGGAAAGCACAGCATCCTATTTGTATGGTCTAAAATAAGGTATAGATGGCTAAAACTAGTACGGACAGAGGCTTAAAAATGGCATCAGCAATACGCCGGTATGCGGTACCGACGTTTCGCTGCCGCGCGACCACCACCAGTCGCGCGTGCGCTAAGGATACTGCGAGGGTCTCCCGTTCCCTATGCGCCCTTGGATTACATGACAGGCATGTGATCCTTAAGGATACGGGCCGGCCGGACAGAGGCTGTTTGCCAATATAATTAAGTGACCAAAAAGAAAACTGGCACGAATTTGGCGCAATCCTAAGTGATGAGGTTAACCGTTTTCTTTTCAAGGTATGCAATTACCATCCTTCTACTTGCAGTACAAACGAACTGCGCAAAGTTATAAATCGCGTTGCTTTGCATCAGCTAAAAACAGCGCAGCAAAAAACTAGAATTGAATGCATCGTCATCAAGACTAATATAACTCTTCACATGGCTCAAAATGGTACATTGTTATCTCTGATAGGCAATTTTCATTGCAATCGTGCCAGAGTCTCTGTACTGAGTGGCATCTGTGAACCAACCTGATTTCGCTGTCTCGTAGGCAGCAAAAAGACAAAAAGGATTAGCTTGTGGTCAAAGTCGATATCAATTTTCGAAAACTGTGACTGACCTCCCCTAAGCAGTTTGTATGGCTCGATTGTGCTCGTAAAGAGCTCGGTGACATCATCATTATACATTAGCTGAAGATGCCGCAATATGTAGAGATGATATACGAAAAAGCAAGATAATAAACATCATAGAATGGGAAAAAAGCGACACACGATGTAGTAACATGTTGTGGTTCAAGACTGAGATCGTGATTGGAGACGAAAGGTAAAGGGGATAAGAGCGAAGAAATTCACAATATAAACGCCATTGAGGTCGGCTTTTTGCTATGCGGCAAGTGTATCCAAACGGACGTGTTCATGGTCCTTCGGTCTCCAGCCAACTTAGAAGTAACGGCCTTCATTCTTCTTGACCAAGTTATCGCTTGGCCACTCCACTTGTTCCATCCAAACCCCGGGCGCGCAAATAACGCACGTCGCGGGAGTCGGTGGGCTGGCATGCGGAACAAGTGGCCCAGCCATCGGAACCTGGTAAGTGAAATAACGGAGCTGAGCGGTTCACTCGCTCTTCGTACACCAAATATGCGCGTTGAAAACGCTCATTGCTCACGCGGTATTCCTACCAGACATGAGATAAGCTGAGAAGGCAGCGGTGATCGAACGTAACTTGATGGGCCAGGTTTCATAACCTTACAGGAGGGATGTACGCGCGGATGCATTGCAAACTTCGCCCTTCAGGGCGAGAGTGATGTCTCACCGGCGCCACAGGTCGCGGAGATTGGCAAAAAAACTTCGAACTTGGAGAACTTCGCCTTTCGACGGTGCAAAGCATAGACCAAAACGACCGACAACCAGTGCTAATGTGTCCAGGGCTACATGGACAAGTTTGGTAGATGTTACAGATAAGTGCAATGTCGTCAGCATACTCCAAGTCAAGAAATCGCTAACTTGGGAGCAGCTCATCACCTTGTGGTTCGCTCCCAGTGAACGTAGTCTCTGAGTTTGTCGATGGAAAATTAAAAAGAAAAGGTGATGGCAGGCCACCTTGTCTCATACCGCTGGAAATATTGACGGGCTGCGACAGCTTGCCGTAAGCCATCACTTTGCCCGAACTGTGCGAACAAAGCGCTTAGATAATATTTACGCACATTTCGGACAAACTTTTCCTAAGTAGACAGTCCTAAAGTGCACATCGATTCACCGAATCAAATGCACTTTCGATGTCGAGGAACACAACTACTGTGGGTCTCCGATAAATATGGGGGTGTTCCGACAACTGACGTGATGTGAAGATGTGAGCAGTACGGCTGCGACTTCGACGAGACCCGGCTCACTCCCCACGAATCTGGGTTTCAAGGGTGCCAAGAGATCTATGGAGAACGAAAGAGGCGAGCATCTTAGACGTAACTGAGAACAGACTGATACCACTATGACTTCCGCATTCCGAACGTGAGCCCCATTTTGAAAATTGAGACCATAACAGAGCTACCGTAATCGTTACGTTGAACTGATTTAATACTCGTTCTAGATTTCGGTTTCTTTCACCGTATGTGGACTCTGGAACTGACCGCAGGGCACCGAATAGCATGCGGAGCCTCCTGTTCGGCTGGAGTACTTCCGTTCTCAGCCTGGGGGGTTGATGTGGACCGGCATAAAAAAGAAGTATGCTGATCACTTGCCATATATATATATATATATATATATATATATATGCGTGTGCCGGGACAGCCAATGGTGCGCTGAGGCTGGTGGTGGCTAGATCCTGACAAAGGATATATCTACTGCTGCTACTGTTGCGTCCTTGACGCCTCCTCGTGGTGACCGCCGGGTGGGAGTTGGGTTACGCCCTTCTCCTTGCTAAGATCCAGGACACCAATCCGCATGAGTCAGTGAACTGACCATGTGCTAGACCCGCTGTCTTTCGGGTGTTCATTTAATCGAAGGTTTTGGCTGAGGACCTGAGTCGTTCTCCTGTCAGGTGTGGGCGCCCTGCCAGTATGTTAGTCCATCCTCTTCGGAGTCTGGGAAGTGGTCGACGACCCACATCCCGTAACACCTAGCCATGGGAGACAACAGGTCTACGCGTTATCAGCTCACAGCTCCATTGGCGTAGAACACGAGCGCCATGCATTGTCTCTGACGGTGGGAGGGCAACTCCGGGTGTTCAATGGTTTGCTACTGCCGGCCTCAAGCCAGGCAGCCCCTGGTCAAATTGATAGAAACTCGCCAAAACACACCTGCGTCTGGCCGGGGTCGCAGGTGTATCCTACTACGGTCGCAAAACATATATGAATCGTTCCAGTATCTCAAAGGCTGCGTGTGACGGCCGTCAAGCAGATCCCAACCTGTCACTGCAATCACATTCCCGAGCTGGATCTGCTCCCTACTGCCTAGTGGGTCAGGCTATAGAGCCAAAGGCTCTGTGCGGAGTCGCTGAAGCAAACCACCAAACAACCCACTGCCTTGTGGATCAGGCTATTGAGCCAAAAGTGCCGGGCAGAGCCCCTCAAGCAAACCTCCGAAGCACAACCGCCACCTCGCGTGCGATTGCCCACCAATGCAATCGTATGCCTGTGCGCAATGCACTCATCATCGGCTGCTGGAATGTGCGCACACTACTGGAACGGAACTCGAGTGAGAGCCCCGAGCGACGCACTGCACTAGTCGCGATGGAACTGGCGCGCTCCCACATCGATATTGCGGTGCTCAGTGCAATCCGGCTCGCTTATCAAGGTAAGTTGCATGAAGCTGGTGCTGGTTACACATGCTACTGGGTGGACAACGCCGCCTCAGCACCACGTGAGCATGGGGTCGGATTTGCAACATCCGATCGCCCCCATGGCCAGCTGGTGGGTGAACCAACAGGCATCAGCGCGCGACTGATGACTGTTCGCATACGACTCGGAAGAAGTAAGTTTGCCACTTTTATAAGCACGTACGGTCCGACCAGGTGTTATCCTGATGACACGGGTGATCAATCCTGCACTCAGCTATCCTCCGTGATACAGTCTATGCCGAGCAGCGAGTGACTATTTCTGCTGGGTGATTTCAACGTGCGCGTTGGGCGTGATGCATCGGTGTGGACAGATGTTATCGGTCCGCATGGCATTGGTTTAGTGAATGTGAACGGTGACAGGCTGCTCTCACTGTGTGCCACTCACGGCCTGACGATTACGAACACTCGATTTGCACTGAGTGCGAGTGATATAGCAACTTGGACGCACCCACGGAGTGGTCACGCTCACCTGCTCGACTATGTCATCGTACGTCAGCGTGATAAGCGTAAAGTGCGCATGACACGTGTACTGCGTGGAGCTGAGTGTGGCATTCAGCATAAATTAGTGCGGAGGAAACTGTATATATATTTTCGTGAATCTATGTATTGCACTCCCGCCGTGAATCGGCGTAAACTTAACATTCGCTCCCTCGGTACTGCGGTGAAATATATTGAGCTGGAGAAGGCGATGGCTGCACGCCTGTGTGATGTGGAATGCATAGCCACAGTGGGCGACCTGTGGCACCACATTCGCGACCAGGTGACGGCTGCTGCCGAGGAGACCATCAAGCGCGCAAAGTTTAAGCGGCCTGATTGGTTTGATGAGAACAATGCGACGATTGGCGCATTGGTGTGTGAGAAGAATGCAGCATTTGCTGCACGTGTGGCAGACGCCAGTGACTTGGGGAAGAGTAGTCAGTTTCGCAAACTTCGACGGCGACTAACTCGAGAGCTCCGTCGCATAAAAAGTGCATGGTGGACGGAGAAGGCGAAGCAGATGGAATGCTACGCCGAACGTCGCCAACACAAGGAATTCTTTGATTCCTTGAAAACGGTGTATAGACCGAGGTTGGAGCCTCTGATGACGCTGATCGATGGTAGCTCAGGCGCTACCTGCACACAGACTGCAGACATAATGCAGGTGTGGCGGAAACACTTTGACTATCTCTTGTACAACCTTTCAGAGATCGACTGGCCTACTTTGAACGGCCTCAAGCAGCACGATGTGAAGGCGAGTCTGGGGGACACGCCGACACTGGATGAGACGCAGAGAGCACTTGCTCAGCTGCAAAACG